TTATTTTTATTGATTATCAGTATTTAATTATACTTTTTACTGTAATTTAAACTCAACTAAATTTTTTATTTAAAAAATAATTTAAAATCTTAGATGATAAGTTTTATTAATTATCAGTGTTTAATTAGTTTAATTATACTTTTTACTGTAATTTAAACTCAACTAAATTTTTTATTTAAAAAATAATTTAAAAATTTTAGATGAGAAGTTTTATTAATTATCAGTATTTAATTATACTTTTTATTTTAATTTAAATTAAATTAAATTTTTTATTTAAAAAATTATTAATAGTTTAATTTCAATATTAAAAAAAATTAAATTATATAATTTTGTTAAATATAATAAATCTATTAAATTTTAGTAAGTATTATACTTTATTTCTAAATTATAATAAAATAACTGTAATATACTAATTATTTAAAAATTTATTTAGAAAAAAAAGAAAAAAAAAAGTTACAAAAAGTGTTATAAAAAAATATTGGATATAATTGGTATAATAAATGTAATTCTAAAATGTTTTATCAAAATTTTTCTTTTTAAACTAGCAAAAATAAATTTAATGATAAATATATTCAAAAAATTCAAATGAATGCTAAAAATACAAAGCAAATATTAGAATAGATTCCTTATAATAAATTAGAAAGTATTGAATATCTTAATAAAGAAGGATTTAGTACTATATATAAAGCTAAATGGTTAGATAGATATATTGAATCTTATTTATATATTGATAAAAATTGGATTAGAAGTAAAAAAGTAGAATTATCTCTTAAATACCTTGATAAGTCATCCAATTTAAATGAAGAATTTTTAAATGATATATTAAATTAATAATTATTTAATTTTAAATAATAAATTTTAAACAAATTTTTATCATTTTAGTAAAAACATCATTATGAATGTTTTAGTCAATTAAAAAATTATTCACATGAAAATCTTATTCAATTATATTGAATTACTCAAGATCCAAATACATTAAATTATATGGTAATAATGAAATATGTAAAAAATAGTAATTTATCTAATATAGGTAAAAATAAATGGATTATTAAATTATTACAATTATATATTATTAGTAAACTTGATGAAATAATTCAAAAAAATCTTATTTATTGTGATTTTCATCATGGTAATATTTTATCTATTAGTGATTTAGGATTATGTAAACATGTAGAATATTTTCAATCATCTATAAATTCTAAAAAGACTTGGTCATTTTTTTTATCTAAAAAGCATAATATTTTTTCATTTAAAAATAATGATATTTATGGAGTTTTACCATTTATAGTACCTGAAGTTTTAAGAGATCCATTCTATACTTTAGCTAATAATATTTACAGCTTTTCTATGATTATGTGGGAATTTATTTCTGAAGTTATTCCATTTGATAATAAAGCTTATGATTTTTAACTTAGTTTAGATATTTGTAAAGGTAAATGTCCTAAAGTCATTAAAAATATTCCACAATGTTATATAGATTTAATGAAAAAATATTGGATATAAATCTATTAAAAAGACTAACTGCATTAGAAATTAAAGAAATTATTAAAAATTGAAAAGAAAATATTATTTTTAAGGATTTTAAAAAAGAATTAAAGAATGTTATTTTAGATTTTTATAAATCAGATAAGGCTTTAAAATAAATACAAAATAATGATAATAATGATAATATTACTATAAAATCACATTTACAAGCATATTATACAAATTGTTTACTTGATTTTACTGAGAATTTAAATAAAATTTTAGATCAAAGTAATACATTTATAGAAATTAGCCAAAATCTTGGTAATTATCGTTATATTAATTTTTAATTAAAAGTTTTTAAATAACTTTATTTTTTTATACTAATATTTATTTTAATTTATTTTAATTTATAGAGAAGTTAAATATTACAGATAATTACAATTAATAAGTATTTTTAATTTAAATATATAATATTATCAAATCACTTTTGATATTTTAAAACAAATTTAAAATATTTAATTTTTATATATTAAAATTTACTACTATATATAAAATAAATTTATATTACAAATAGTAGTTTGTAATTATTAAATAAACAAATTATTTTTTAATATTATAATAAATATTTAAATATTTATAAAATCATTTTATTGTATTATAAAATAGATCTTAAGACTAAAATATTATAAAAGCTTTGTACTTTATTTTTAGAGATAGAAATGTTTTAATTTAATTAACCTTTTATTTAATGAAGAGATGTTATTGAGTGAAAATTGGTGATGAATTTACCAACTTTTTCGCTTAATTAGAATGTATGACATACATATTAACATGGATTAATTAATAAACGTTTTGAATTAGGAAATTTGTAATACGAGTAATTAATCTGCTTTATATAATATATATATAATATGAAAATATATAGGAGATATATACTGTATATGATATACTAACATATCGTATTCATATATTTCTGCAATTGTAATAAATTATAACTTTTTTGAAATCATTAGAATAGAATCGAAAAGCAACTCTGGAGTATTGCGCTGTATTTTTTCACTTATTTGATAAAGCTCTTCAAAGAGATATGTTGATTATTACAAAAGCATTATAAATATCCTGTCGAAGTGTAGTGTAAGGTCTTGGATTACTGTTATATCTAATACTTAAGACTAAGAGCTCAATTCGTCCTAAAATAGCTTCAGGTAATGTACTAGAAATAAGATGAGTATAACTAATAACGGGATATTCAGATGAAAACCAATCCCAAAAGTTTAAAAATCTATGTGTATTAGAGATGGTACATTCAGAATAACAAGTAGGGCAATTACTTCAAATTTGATATAACAGTTATTCGGCAGACACTTCGTCGAATAACTATTAATTATGCATTGGTATATAATAATCACATGCTCTTACGTGCTGTGTTATATTTATATCCCGTGAATAAACTAGATATCCTTCACACCATATGGATAACAAGAATTTATTGATCTAGTATTATTACATAATTTAAGTTTTTTTGAAATTAATAATCGGTATTAATATTTGAATTATTACTTTTTTTTACGATAAAAAGACACTGATGGAATATACATAAAATCGATAGATAAAGTGAATTTATCTTTTCTACTAGTAAATATGAAGCAATTAAATTTAATTTGAGTGAACTATTTAATATTTAGTTGATAGTTTATAATCGTGTTAGTCACAATTTTCGATTGAAAATTGGTTTTAGCAGCCCTAAGCTGATTTTATATCTCACAAATAAATTTATTTTTATTGTTACGATATTAATATACTGTATTGTATTATATTTTTTTATAATTAATAATTCAATTGTATTATTTGCTTGAAGTCCCTTAGATAGTCTTTTAATGGCCGTAGTAATTTCGCATTTAATAAAATTGACTAACGAAACGTACAGAGCGTCAGACGTTGAGGCAGCACTTTAATTTTTTATTAAATAATTTTTGCATTACAACATTATTACAATTAAAAACCTTCTGCTACATTTTTCATTCGTTAATTAAATATAAAATTTAAAGAACTGAATGCAACACTATTTATTTCATTTTCTAATTATTTTTTAAGTCAATTTTTTAAAAATAACTTTATAATGAAATGAAAGACCACCACCAAAAAAAAAATTTTTATTCAAAGCCGTCAAATTTATTAGAACCATCATCACCAATGCTGTAACCACCTGTAAGTTGTTGTAATTCGGAGGGGTTCGACCCTAAAAGTCTGTTGATAATCAATTAATTGATATAAAACCGATGTAGGTATTGTTAGCCGGAGCCTAGGAATAAAACTTAGTCAATTAATTCAGTCCTTCGAATTAATCACAATAATTTTATACAAATTACGCATGTATGAAGACACGGCAAAAGGTAATAGCAAATGAATAACAAATATCTTTATTGAACTCTTGGTTTATTCACAAATCCCTATCTCGAGTTATCTTTCAACTCAAGGGAAAATACATGCTATTTATATAAAATAAACTATATGATAAATATATCTAATATAATAAATCTATCTAATATAACAAACCAAATTAATAAAATATGACCTAAATCAGGTGATCGCCGCAGTCATAGATCACTGCACGAAGCGATAATAATTAGGAATTTTAATATCTATCATTTGGAAAGTGCTTCGATTCAATGTTTCTGACATCAATAAAGTAAAAATTTTAAAAATATAAAAATAAAAATCGTCATTTATAAAGGAAATTTTAAGCCCCTTCTTCCCTTCCCCTTCTTCCTTTCTTCCTCGTCCTCCGAAACTTCCGCTTCCATTTCACCTTTAAAACGAAAAATAATTATAAAAAATATAATAAAAATAAATTTTGGAAAAATACATATTAAAAGGTAGCTTTACTTTCTAATGCACGAATCCTCTCCTCGTGAATATGAACTTCGTGCTAGCCTGACTCATTGATTTGAATATGCCTAGCATGCAACTCACTAATTTGAGCCGAACTTGTGTAAGTTCGCGCTTATAGTCGTTGTTTTCCGCCAACACCGACAATATGAAGGTGGCTGCTCTTGTTGTTGCCGAATCTGCTCGAGAAGCAAATCTATTCTTCGTCGCTCTTCTTGCTCCCTTTGTCGACGTAATAGTCTTTGTCGTGTTTGAAAAGCTCTTTTCTATAAGTTCTTCCCATTTTAATTATAATTTGTGAAAGTTGATGAATTATAGAGAAATTTTTTAATTAAAAAAAGGGAACAAAATATTTTGGGTTTATATAATCAAAAATTAATTAATTTGGGCGTTGGATGACGTAAGAAAGAAATTTTCTTGAATTTCTTTTGTAGAACCTTCGTGAGTTGATGAATAAAGTGTTTTAATTATTGCACCCACATTATTAATGTACATTAATCCTACACCTGCAATTAAAAGCTTTGTAAAACAGATTGAAATTGCTTCAATATCTTGAAATAATTCCCACCCTCCGACATCCGGCTCTTCATTTTTTCGTTGTTGCTCGGAAGGTAATAAAGGAACGTTTTTAAGACCTTGTTGACCGGTTAAAATTTTTTGTGATTACAAAATTTCGCTCGTTTTGCCCAAAAATTTAACCGGTAATTAACCGGTTAAGGATTTTTGGGCCGTTGTGTGATTGTGATTGCGGAAGCCGTTGCTCTTGCCGTTGCTGGCAGCGTCAGTTACCGCCATGGACTTTCGCGTAAAAATTTTTAATGGTGCCTGATAATTTTTTTTACCCATACTTAATAAGTGTGTGAATATGAGTTTAAAGAGTTAAAAATTTTTAAAAAAATTATTTGGAGATAAGTGTGGTGTGAGTCAAAAAAAAAAATTTTTGATAAAGATATTCAACGTAAATTTGTGGTTCATGATAAGCAAAAAAAAAAAAAATAATATAATATACTGAAGTAAAAAAAACCTGTTTAAACTTGGATCAAGACATCAATTTATGAAGAATTCTTGTTATTGCCCAAATTTAGACATATTTGCATTACATAATGCTCAGAAGGTATAAAGTAAAAATTTTTTTGATTATTTTAAATATTTTATTAATAATCAGAATTTATTGGTGGTTTGCGTTAGTGATCATGATCGGACCAAATAATCCTGGATTCAGATGATTCAATTTGTTCCTTGGACAAATTATACAAAAATGACAAATTCAAAAAAAGTACCTAAAGTATTTTTTAATATTTATTTGGTTAGCCGCAACAATTTTGCAACGATATTTGTTGACCTAATTTAAAAAAAGCTTCTGCTTCGTTCATAAATATAAACTTACAAGAACTGATCGTAAAATCTAATAATATATATTACTACAATTATTTTTATATTGTGTAATCATAGATACTGCTGCAGTTTTTTTTTTAATATATGTATAAATAAAAATCCTTTTTTTAAAATCATCGCTAAAAAATATTTGTTTCACCCATCTTAAATGTCACCGGTCAATTACTATTGGTTGATTTAACACTGGTGCTAACCGCCTTTTGGTGATAATAGCAAACTTCATTAAATCATTACAGGTCTAATTTCTCTGCTTTCAATATCATTTGAAAGCTCTTCTTGCACAGCTATTCGATAAAAAAAATTTCTATATCATTTTTTTGCTTTAATACAATAAAAAGTTTCATAATCAACATTAATTATTATCATCGTCGTATTTTCCTTTCCAAGCTAAAGCTTGTATAGTTTGTATATATTTAGATCATAGAAATAAATCGGGATCGTATTCCATATGCTTTTTCCTAGATTATTAAATGTTAGAAGCCGGTCCGACGAGCATCCTCCTCTTTCATCATAACATCTTCATATGATGGAAGAGGGCTTTCTATACTTTCATAGGATGGAGGTGGACTTTCTGCACTTTCTGCACTTTCTAATTGAATTTGACTCCGTTTGTTGTTGTTGCTGTTCTCGTTGCTGTTCTTGTAGTTGTTGCCGTTGTTGTCTTAGCAACTTACGTGGTAGCCGCTTGGGCTCTTCTTGAATAATAATGGTTTATGTTCGATTTAGGCATATTATTAAGAAAAAGTTTAAAATTTTTGAAAATGATTTTTTTTTGCGTAAGGTAATTTTTGGTGAATAAATAAAATATTCAATATATAAAAAATTTTGTGTTATGTGTAAAGAAGTTTATGTTTAAAAAAAAAAAAAATTTGGAAAAAATTTTTGAAGAGAAAGTGTTTTGCTTTTGTTTTCCGTGAAAGATTGGCATATTATTGGGAAACGCGAAAAAAAAATAAAAAAAAATCGTGGCGTAAAGTTTAATATGAATTCCTTATACGGTATGGTAATTTAATACAAAGCATATGATTAAGCTGATTAAGCACGCAATATTTTTGATGAGTAAGCATTGCTTAAATATTAAATCTTTGAATACTTTTTTCTAATGTATCACAAACTGTTAAAAATGCGCAGTTAATTGTCTTTATAATTCACAACTCAACAAAAACAAAACAACGTGGTGAACATTTCAAACAACCAGGCCGCAATCTGTCGCGTTTATTTGATGTTAGTATTGTTTATTTGCATTTACAGAGAAGAGGGCGTTCGGAAGCCCTCTGTATTTATCGCTCTTGTTGCTTCTTCTGCAGACGTAAATATCCAATCATCGGTCCTAAATAAACCACTCAATAAAATTTAACCACCCTGCCCAATACTATATGTGGACTGCTGTATGCTAAGCTAAATTTGAACATAATCAGCCTAAAACTCATATTTGACATTAAAAGTAAAATTTATTTTTTCCGGCAGTTTCCCCCCTTTCTATTACAAAGCCCCATATAATATATTATTGTAAAAAAAAAATAATATATATTTTTTTGATTACAAATAGTCGGTCGGTGATTTTTTGATTTTTTTATATTGACCGCAGTTTTACGTTTAATTTTTTATAAAAAATTTTGTGAGGATGATGTAATATCAAGATTTTTATCCTTATTTATTTTAAGTATATACAGTATAAATTTAAATTATAATACAAAAAAAAAACTCGAAAAAATAGTTTCCGAATATTCCTACAATATGCGAAGTAAAAAATTTGTGCGAATGACATCATTGATTTATAATATAAACTCGATCTCATGTTATAGAGAATTTATGAGTGTTTTTTACATAATTCTCTTACTTCTATTTATTTCTTAGGGAATAAAATCGCGGTGTAGATCGATGAGATGATACAGTTTCGGACTTTACATACACTGTACTGTACTATAAATTTTTACTCAAGGAAATGTTACAATTTTGCATATAATATTTATTTATTCATCAAAATCGACTTACGAAAAAAAAAGTTTTATTTCAAAACTAAGAGAATGTGACTCGAAGCATTTTTTATTAAAATTTTATTTTAATTTTTGATAATATTAGATTAAAATGTAATAAAAATTAAAATTTTAAAAAAAAATGCTTATAGTCACATTTTCCTAGCTAGCCTCTATATTATTAAAAATATGCCAAAATCCAGAAACAAAAATTATTATTATTCAAAAGGAGCCAACAAACGGCAACAACAACAGTAACAACAGCAACAACAAACAGCAACGTAGTGTGGCCCTTACTACGCGAGTCACTTCTGGAACTGATTCTAAATTTGGCAGATTCTTCCTGAGTTTGGAATTACTTTTAACAATAGAACCGGAACCGACTCTGGAACCGACGCTCAAATCGTCTTGTCATCAAAATTATGACGAGTCACAAATCAAACTTTTTTCTAATTGATCTCCAATCATAGCTCATATTTAACTATTGAGGCCGACGAGCCAATCCCCTTTGTTCGTGTGCTTCGAGTTGAAACTTCAACAGCTCTCGAGTCGACTCCCTAACAATGAGTCGAGTCATTGTACGTGTAGCTAGCCAATATGCTAGGTTGGCTGAATTAGGTATAAAATAATAGACCTTAATGTAATAAGCAAGCTATAATAATTTTTTTGTAACTGTTGTCAAAAGTGAACGGATTCTTTAAAAATTTATTACTATTGCTATTTTCACTATCTATCTTATATAATTTTTTCGTTTTAAAGGTGGGGCATCAGAAGCTGAAGAAGTGGAAGAAGCGGAAGAAGACAAAACATGTTGCAAGAAACAAATTTGAATATGGCCGAGGAAAATTTAACAATTGCAGAAAAATCTGCAGAACTCAATTGGAGATATCTTAATAAAACGACAATACTACTCATCTGAACAAACAAAATTGCCAAATATCGAATTAGTTTACAGAGAAAATTTAGTTTCGATGGTATGAATTAATAGATTTTACCATAATTTTAAGATAACGTATTAATATATTTATTATATATTAATAGGAAAAAAAAGAGCAGAACTTGAAAAATATTGACATAATGATATGCTTTTGAACCGCCTGTGCTGTAAAATTTAATGAGATTCTTATGTAAAGAGGAGAATGCTCGTCAGATGAACAGAAACTGGAAGGAATTTGAGAGCTCTGTCGATACAGCTTCTATGAGAGAAGAAATAGAACTTCTGAAAGAAATTTTAGGAATTTTCAGAGGTAAACAACCTTTAATAATTTATTATAATTTTTTAATATTTCTAATTGTATAACATTTATCATACTTTCTTCATTTTAGAGGAAGAAGGTGGTGGGGAAGAAAATGTAAAGGATTAATTATTTTTTTTTTAATTTGTATTATAAACTTGACATGGTAATAAAAGAAGATAACGAAAGTCTTCCTTCATCATATCATCATATCACATAATATGAAAATTGGTAGAGTCATTAATGAAACAAAATCTATTTATGAAAATTGCAGCAAATATTTGTTCATAATTTGATTATTATTGGAGAAAACTTTATATAAGTAAAGATAGAAATTATGCTTTTTACTCAGGATAAGGGTTGTATGAATATTGAAGAAATTGAAGTTATTAGTGTAGTTAAGAAGGAATAATAATGTTTTAAAAATAAATTTAAAATATCATTTATTTGAATGAAAGATTAGTAGAAATCAATAATCATGAATCTTAACTTTTTGTAATTTCTATAATTTATTAAATATCTATTTTCTATTAATGTATTTTATATAAATATTCTGTATCTTTATCCTGATAAGTGGTAGAATATTAAATAAAACAATAACATTTATCTTTAAAACTTATCTTTGCTTATTTACAATTTATTTTTATAACAATAAAGATAACTTAATCATTCAAAAAATAATTAATTGATTCATGTTTATTTCTTTCATAATTTAGATATAATTAAACTTCTTGTTAGCAAATACTTTCTGTTAACAAGAACCAAAAATATATATATAAAAGTCAGATGCCTGTAGAATTTTTTACTATTAGCTATACACATGGGTTTTCTATAAGCTCAGTACATATAATTGGTACCTAATAATAAAAATTCTATAAAAATACTCAAATAAAGTTATTGACCTTGATGTTGTATGATTTATATATAAAATTTATAATGTAAATACAAATTTTAATTATATAATGAATAATATTTAACCTATTTTACCATTTTTTTAATAATACCTTCTCACTTAAAATAATCAAAATAATATTGCTTTTAATTACCAACTAATCTTAAAACTTTTTCTTTAATAATTATACTATTTTTTTTAATATAGTATATGAAATTTAAAGGAATATAATGTATAAGTATATAATAATATTTTTTAACTATATCAGGGAATAAATATATGTAGTGAATCTATGAAATATCATTTACTGTATATCTTTGATGACTTCATTAATATAATAATAATGATTGTAAGCCTTGTAATACTAAGTTACTACTAGAACTTCTATTGAATCAAGTCAAGTTAAATCAAAATTTTTAAAACTTTAACTCGACTTAACTTAAATTATATATAAATTTAACTAAATTTAAAGTAAATAATTTAATTTAAAATATAAAAAAAAATAAAATATTATTTTATTATTTAATTTGAAATTTAATTTAATTAATTAGAATTATTTTTAATTAAAAAAAATCAATTATTTATATTAATAATATTTAATATTAATATTAAAAAATATATTATTTTTCATCATAATTTAAATACATTTATAAAATTTATTTTAAATTTATAATATATTAAAAATTAAATACTTACCTACTTCATAAACTGTTAGTTTTAATGAAAAACAAAAAAAAACTGATTTTATAGTATAAAAAAATTTTGTTGATCTAATCTGTATATAATATTAAATATTAGTGAAGAAAGCAAAAATGATTTGTGATCTAACAAATACAAATTAGTTGAATCTAAGAATAAGTATAGAAAATCTAAAATAAAATTTGAAAAAGCAAAAATGACATTGATTTGAGAGTTTGAATTTTCAACACAAAATATGAATTCAAGTAAATTATAATATATAGTATAAAATCAAGAAAATTAAGTGTAATAATACAATAAAAAAATTGAATCTCCAATAAAGGGAAATATAATTATTATATTAAGACCAATGAGTATTAAGATCAGCATTAAAGTCTCCTAATTGAATAATTTTAAAATTAGCCTTAAAACTATTCTTAATATGTTTAATAATTTTTTTGTGAAGATTAAGCCTTTCTTTTTTGTTTGTAAGTTTGAGATACATATAGATAAATACAGAAATTCTTAATTTGACATGTCTTGCAAGAAAAAAGTTAATATATATACAGTAAAATGATCATTATCTAAAAAGGTTCATTAAATATAAATTGCTTAGGATCACTTAACAAGTATACTAACACTAGCATAAGTATTAATCTAAGTGTTTCAAAAAGCGTAATAATTTAAATCATGTATGTATTTATAAAATTGATCTATCTTATATTTAGTCTCCATAAAATCTATATTAAAGTTGATAAAGATAATATTAATTAAATGATTTTTAAATTTATATTGTAAATAATTAATAATGTATATAACAAATAAAAGAGTAGATATATCTTTAAAATTATTATTATTATTATTAATTGGATTATAAATAGAATTGTTGGATGTTTTTTTATTAGTATTTATGTTGTTATTAATCATTATTAAAAATATGTAAAAAAAGTGAAGCAATTTTATTGAGAAATCTTTGTAATTAAAAATTGTAGTTGAGTTATCATGATTTCTATTTAAGCTTTTTATTAACAATTATAGAATTTTATACATCAATTATACTTTAAGATTTCATATCAATAGGTTTAGGATCTGGATTTATACTATTATCTGTTAATGTATTAGAAATCCTAATAAATTTGTTGACATGAGAACTTAAGCTACTTTAAAGAATAATAGGCTTAGCAAAAAATTGAAAATAAGAATATTAGATATAATAGGGATAGCAGTCAATTAAAATCATTCTAGTTTAAAAATATGAGCTATTAAATCTGTCATAGCTTTCTATATATGGTAAGCAAATTTAAAATTTGATCAAGTTTATTATTAGTATTATTATTAATGTTAATATTGTAAATAAAGCTATCTAAAAAATGATAATTAGAGCTTATTTCTCTAATTTTACCTTTATTTATTTAGATAAAGCATTAAAATAGTTCATATTTCTAGTAAAATTGGAAGGACAATTATTTTTATTTCTACTGATAAGCATCTTAAAAACTAGTTAGTTTAAATCTATATATTTATCCTAAAAAGACAATCTATTTCTACCCTTCTTTGATTATAGATCTGCAGGAAATAATTTATTCTAATAATAGCATATCTAGATAGAATCTTATAATAGATTTTTTTTTTGAATAATTATGAGAAAAAAGAGCAAATAGTTAAAAAAAATTTATATATGCATTATATAGTATTTGTACTGAAAGTAATTAAAATTAAAATTATTTATTATCAGAGATATTATTCTTTTTAGAAGAAGAGATTTGTAGATATATAATTATAATGTGATTAGGAGAATCCTATTTTTAACAGCATTTTATTTCAGCTAAATACTATTGTAATTCATTATTAACAAAGATGCAATCTATTTTGATAGTATTATTTAAGCTTCAGTTATATTAAAATAAAAAATAATGAAGGGATATAGCTTATAATTGGTTAACTTTAGAATATAACAACTCTTAGTTTTGGTAATAGGAATAATATCTTAAAGATCGCATGCAGTAATATCAAAAGAAAAATTAGTAAGTTTAATATAAATGTTATTTCATTGTTTTACTTGATCAGATGTAAGATAAATTCTAACACAATTATTATATAAATATCATGACTATTGCATGTAAAATAATTTGATGGACTTAGAATTTTTATAAGTAATAAATGCATATTATCACATATCTCATATTTGTAATTTAACATTAGTAATCTTATCATATTTGGCAAATATAATGTAAGCATATTTAGATAAATATCTATTACATGCAGAATGTATTATTAAAACTGCATATTGTTTTTGTATATTTTGTAATTGATAAACTGATCAATTTCTAAATCAGAAAAGTTCATTAAGAAGGCTATGTTTATTGTTTTCTTATTAATAAAGTAGATCATTATAGATCTAATAAAATTAATATAACTAACATTAATACCTTTAAATGTGATATTCTTCGTAAAGTGATTATTAATAGTTTTGATAATAGTCTGAATAGAAAGTTTCTTTGCATATAAAAATACAGGCAATGATATTAGATGTGAAATAATGATAAAGTCTCTTATATTTATTTCCATTTTTTATTATTTTTAATAGAAATATATTCGTCTTTATCTAAAATATTTTTGAATGGCATTTTTTGAAAAAAAAATTCTTTATAACTAGAGATTAGAACTGGATTTATTTATTTTCAAAAATTGGAATCAGATTTAATCTGAATTTATTATATCCAGTTTCTTCAGATTTAATTTGAAATTATTATATTTGAATTTATTATATCTGATAAAGCCCTCAACTACTAGAATTACTAGAAAAGATTTAGAACTTTCATAATACTTTACATGCAAATAGTGTTCTACAAAAAGTCTGACTCAATCCAAATCTGATCTGGATCTGACAGATCAGATTAAATCAGATTTATCAGATTCGAATCAGATTCAGATCCAGATTTTGATTTGATTCGATCTGTTAAATTTGAATCAGATTCAGATTTGAATTTGATTCAATCCGACGGATTTAAATTTGGATTCAGATCCGATTTGTTGGATTTGAAATAAAAAATGCTACCCTGAAGTCAGACGCAGCATTTATAATTAAAAAAATTAATTTTTAATAATAAAATTCCTTCCGAAAATCAGATACAACATTTATTATTAAAAAATTAATTTTTATTAATTTTTAATAACAAAATGCTATCCCAAAAGTCAGAGGCGACATTTATTAATTAAAATAAGTTTTTATTAATTTTTAACA